CACTGCACTCCAGTCTGGGTGACAGAGTGAGACTCCAACTCAAAAAAAAAAAAATTATATCATCTGCAAGTAGAGATGGTTTACTTGTTCTTGGAGTGTCTCTTCTTTTTCTTGCCTAAGTCCACTAGCGACAACTTCCAGCACTGTCTTCTCCTGGTCTTAGAAGAAAAGCTTTCAGTCTTTCACTATTGAGTATGATGTTCACTGTGAGTTTTTCATATATGGCTTTGGTTTTTTGTTTTTTTGAGTTGGAGTCTCACTCTGTTGCTCAGACTGGAGTGCAATGGCCGCTCCTGGCCACCGCAGCCTCAAACTGCTGGGCTCCGGCGATCCTTCTGCCTCAGCCTTCCGAGTAACTGGAATTAAAAGCACGCGCTACCATGCCCGGCTAATTTTTTATTTTATTGTAGAGATGCGGTCTCACCAAGTTGCCCAGGTGGGTCTTGAACCCACGGGCTCAGGCAATCCACTCACCTCAGCCTCCCAAGGCGCGGGATTACAGGCTGAGCCACCGAGCCCGGCTCATATATGACTTTTATTATGTTGAGGTAGTTCCCTTCTCTTCCTAGTGTTTTGAGTGCTTTTTTGTCTTGTTTTGTTTTTGAGTTGAAGTCTCACGCCATCACCCAGGCGAAGTGCAGTGACACACTCACTGCCACCTCAGCACCAACCTTCTGGACTCCGGCGATCCTTCTGCCTCAGCCTTCCAAGTAGCCAGAACTACAGGTGCATGCTACCATGCCAGGCTCATATTGTGGAGTTGAGGTCTTGCCAAGTTGCGTGGGCTGGTCTTGAATCCGTGGACTCAGACAATTCACTTGGCTTGGTCTCCCAAAATGCTGGGATTACAGGCTGAGCCACCGAGCCCGCCACTTTTTTGGGGTTTTTTTTTTTTGAGTCCAAGTCTCACTCTGTCACCCAGGCTGGAATGCAGTGGCATGCTCACAGCTACCGCAGCCTCAACCTGCTGGGTTCAGGCGATCCTTCCACTTTAGCCTTCCAGGTAGCTGGAACTACAGGCATGTGCCACTGCACCCAGCTAATTTTTTGATTTATTGTAGAGACAAGGTCTTGCCATGTTGCCCAGACTGTTCTCTAACTTGTGGGCTCAGGTATTCCTCTCGCCTCTGCCTCCCAAAGTGCTGGGATTACAGGCGTGAGCCACTGCACCTGACTGTGTTTTTTTTTTTTTAAGTCAAGAAACGGTGTTGAATTTTGTCAATGCTTTTTCTGCATTAACTGAGATGATCATTTTTTTTCCCCTTCATTCTGTTAATGTGCTATATTGCATTCATTGATTTTCATGTATTGTACCATCTTTGCTTTCTAGGAATAAATCTCACTTGGTCACAGTATATAATCTTGTTAATATGCTGCCTGAATTTTGTTTGCTAGTATTTTGTTGAGGATTTTTGTATCAATGTTCATCACGGATATCAGCCCATAGTTTAGTTTTCTTGTAATGTTTCTGTCTAGCTTTGGTATCAGGGTCATGCTGGCCTCATACAGTAAGTTAGGGAGTGCTCCCTCCTCTCAATTTTTTGGAAAAATTTAAAAAGGGTTGGTGTTAGTTCTTTTTATCTTTTTTTTTTTTTAATTGGAGTCTCACTCTGTCGCCCAGACTGGAGTGCAGTGGCAAGCTCCCGGCCACCACAGCCTCGACCTGCTGGGCTCTGGCGATCCTTCCGCCTCAGCCTTCCAAGTAGCTGGAACTACAGGCTTGCGCTACCA